TCCTCACGGATGATGACGTAATCACTGATGCGCCGTCATCGACCACGAGTCTCTGAACTGGATCGGGCCACCTCCCATCAATCAGTCCCTTGTTTCCAGAAGCCAACTGTCACTTCACCACAATGTTGGCAGGACTCTGGGCAAGTTTCTGAGCTACTTTACCAAAGAGCACTTTGTGCCTCCTAAACGCGTCCTTCGTTACCTACAGGGTACGCTTGGCTATGTTTGGGTGTGGTATAAGCGGGTCTCCAAGAATGCAACTAGTCGCTTATGCAGACGCAGACTTGGGAAATGAAAAGGACGATTGTCGTTCAATCGCGGGATATGTGCTGCTTCTAAATGGTTGTATATTTTCTTACAAGAGTAAGAAGCAGCCGATTATGACGGACGATACTTCTTGTGCTGAGTTTGTGACTATCAGTGACTGTTAGAACATGATCCGGTGGACGCACAACCTGTGCGGTGAGTTGAAAATCAGAAAGACTGTGAAAATTATTCTCTATGTGTATAATCAAGCTGCGTTTAAAGTGATTTAGGAAGCGCGTACAAGATATAAGGTCACGAGTGTGGATTTGAAGCTTCACGCTGCAACGGAGGCAATCCATTGCGCTCAAAGTTCAGACGCTATGCGAACATATTCACACGAGAGATAAAAAAAAACTCAACTCTTAAATCCCGCCGTAAGATTGTTTATGGAAAGGCATAATTCCAGGTCAGCGCAGCGACACTCAGGGTCGTTTCCATGTCGACGGTTCACTCACCAAACCCGGCAATAGCTTGTCTAATAGATGCTTCAGGTTAGTTATAAAGGGCCGGAAAACTGCCACGTTAAGAGGCTGCAGGAGGTGGGTCCCATTAGCGTCCCGTTATGTCAACTGGTGGTCTGGAATTGGCGGGAAATGGTCTGCTTGTCTGGGTATTAAGTGCTTCAGATTTTCACGCAAAGACATCTGTTTAAGTTTTGGCAAATCACATTTGGATTTGAGTTGACATTTGGTCGGTATTGGTTGAAAATTGAGTGGCTACTAAAATGGCAAAGCTACTAAATTGGCAATTTACCTTATGAACCCTCTATGGTAGGGCCGAAATTCCGTTGTTACGTGAAACCCACGCACGATTAGCTCTTTACTGGGTGATTTAATAACAATTGGTAGTTTTTCTTAAAATTTCAATTTACAGTTAGCGTATTCTAGAAAGTCGATAAGCGTGATGATCGCAGTAAGCTTGGTGTCCCCACAACGTCGTGCTGCGCACAAAGAATCTCTGAAATTTTGAGCATGGCATGCAAACAAGAACTTTAAAACTGTGCATTAGTTGGGATGAATGGAATTCGAGTGATATGAATCCCTTGCAGCAATATGCTAAAGCATGACCACCGGGGATTATACTACGGAGGATCTAAAGTGTGCTCCGTTCGTGGACAAGTATTCAGATTACTCTGTCGTCTTTTTGCTGAGGGTTTTCTCCTTTTCCTATCAGCTGTGCGACACTGGCGCATAGTTCTAAGATCAAAGTACGTAGGTTTTTTTTTCGATCTGTTTTTAGATCAAAGGAAATTGTTCGAACAGCCTGGGAAGCTGTAGTGAGCTCCAGCTTCCAATGCGTAGCTTTGGAGCCTCGCATCAGCTCAAACGTCGACCACAACCGCTTTGTGGCTGTGCTATGGGCAATTACCTCAGCAAGGGTCTCTATAGGACCAACAGTGCAACATTGTGCTTGAGACTCCTGTGGTGTAGGGATTTCTAAGTAATCGCTGAAGTGGCTACATTCAAGTTGCTCAAGCCACGAACGCTCGGTCATGCGACAGGTGGTGACCACGATGCAAGATAACCAAGGATACATCACTACCGAACGTTCGTC